GACAAAAACCTTTCCTTTATGGAGTTTACAGTCTGCTGGAAGCAGATACATCAAGATAAAAGGAATGTGAAGGCAGGGAGAAGAGAGACCATTACAGGAACACATAGCTGGGACCTTAAAAAGATCCCTGAGGATCCTGATCCTCTCCCTGAGGATCAGCCATCAGGCCTTGAGAAATAGTCTTTTCTGGAAACTAAAATACCTCATTTTTACTGATACATAAAGGTGCTTTGTTGTTAATGTTATAGAGACCACTAGGACTTTTTGTTATTTATAAATTTATATAACATTAAATACAAAGCACATTTATGAGTGTATATATATATATATGTATATATACATATATATATATGGAATATATATCATATATGGAAGATAATGTACATATATATATGGGTGATAGATAATAATAGATTAGGTAAATATAGATAGTAGATAAGATGGATAAATAGACATACAGACAGATACACACATACCCAACCAGGGGTGATATCTAAATATCTAATGAGCAGTAATGCAGAATGCAGAGCAGCTAGAACAGAGGCTAACCACTCTCTTGGGGGCAAAGTCCTCATGGTTACTGCTGGCCTGGGTATTAATTGCTTGCCCTTGAAGAAGGGGTGGAGGACTGACAGTGAAGGAGACCCCTTGCAGAACTCAGGAGTGCAACCACTACAGTCCACCATTTCCCAACCACTATAGTCCACTTGTACATATGGATTAGATTTCTATACTGTGTATTCTTGGTCTTAATTCATTTACTGAAGGACAGAAATACAATAAAATAATTTACTTATTTAAGATCTTTTTTTATTTCTTTAGTATACAATAACTGGGATTTAGGCCAGAAGTGTGGAGGTGGGGGGGGAGGGGGAGAGTAAGCAGATTCATCAGAGACAAAGTAGGCAGCTGAACAGGCAGATTTACTGAAATGCACTGCTAAGGGGAGCAGTGGGAGAGACAGGAGAGGTCTGTTGTGCCATGTGGGTCACCCCTCTGCGGGGGGATTGAACTCAGGTCGCAGCAATGATAGGGCTGAATCTTAACCCCTAGTGCACCAGTGAAGCCCCACAATAAAATCATTTAAAGAATTTCAATGATTTCCTAATTTAGAAAGTTTAAGAGTAACTTTTTTAGATTATGGTAAACACCTCATCCATTGTTAGAAAAAGGAGACATTCTTACTGAATTTACCAAATACCATAAATTGGTTAATACAAAAAGAATTATTTTATTGTTTATAAGGAAAACATAAATCTTTTAGCAGAAAAGAGTAATTACATTAATTGGGCTTGAAGATGCCATTGTATTATCAAGTGTAACAATCCATTTAAATGAATCCGTTTTTAATCTGGAAAGATATAAGTCCTTTTTTAATCTGGCAAGACAAATTCCATACATGTAATTATTCGAAAATGTAAATCGTGTACTGTATTAACTATATAATCTCATAGCAAAGGCAGAAACACTTATGTGAACTAACCTCTCTAAATTCATGTATTAACTTTTGTTCTACCCTGAAGTAAATATTAATAGATCTTCAGTCAACACTAAAGTGTGTTTACTACTCCACAGCTCCCTTCATTTGGACACGATAGTTACAAATATTTATATGAACCTATTAAAACTACATCAAATACAGCAGTCTAAGAAAATGGTAAGGGAAAATTGTTTTTCTTCTACTTTAATCTCAAATTGTTACACCATTCCTGCTAGAAGGCAATCTCTAAAACTCATTCTCATATATTCTTCACCTAAGAAAAGTATGGTTGACAAGAGCATTATTAAAATAGTAATTTTAGTATCATTTATGAACATTCCCCTGCTAAGTTAATTAAGAGAATCTATGTTACAAGTAATCACATCTGAGCTCATTTATCTGCATGTCAAAGACTAGTTTGAATTAAAAGAGACTCGAACTGCAGCACCTAGGGACTGCCTTTCTAAAACCGAGCAGGAGCGTGCCAAGTGTTGGATGAACCAAAGCCAATGTCATTTCCAGGCCTTGCAAGAGCTTTGTTTTGGCAACCTGGCTTTACGAAGGTTGTTAGGACCCCATATTTCTTCAGTGAGATTCGGATTACAGGCATTTTAAATAATTTGTTTAAGTTCAAGCTGCATGCTACAAAATGATGACCTCAACCCTTTGCAAGTCTGGTCTAAGGATATTTGTAGCTTCCCCCCATTTCCTAAAAGAGAGGTAAAAATATGTCCTTCAGATGTAGCATCTTATGCTGTTGGAGGCTATTGAGGCAGCACTATGAGGGGACCAATGTGGGCTTTGGGATCTGTTAGACTCAAATCTGGATTTCTGCTCCGCCATCTATTAGTTGAATAATGTGAACAAACAATTTAACTTCAAAGTTTCCTTACCTGTATCTCTGGAAAAATCACACTCCTTTGTGTAGAAGTTGGGAGAAATAAGAATGATTTATGCACAGTGGCACAAAATAAGCTCTCAGTAAATAGTAGCTCTTGATCCTGTTTGTTTCATTATTTGTGTTGCTTTCATAGTGGTGACAGTGGTGATCGTGTGCGTCTGTTCTTCACAAGCAGCATCTCCCCAATGCCAGCAGTGACAGGCACCTAAATCCCTTCTCCTGCCTGCACCAAAAGTTCGCCACAGCAGGTGACTTCCCTCCAGTGGACACTGGACATGTCTGAGGACATCTGGTAGTCACAACCAAGGAGGGAGTGAAGAAGACACATCTGACATCTACTGGAGATGACCCCGGGGGCTGCTTATTATCCTACAGTGCTCAGAACACCCCTCCCCCCACCCCCTCCCTTG